ATAGACCGTTGTGGGACACAGATTACACCAAAACTCAGACTAATGGACAGTTTTTAGCCCCCCTAGTTAGCATTTATAAGTTATATGAACACACTTTATAAAATGTTTGTTTGACAGTACAATGTAGTTATCAGTAGATAAATGAACATGTTTTGTATTTATCACCAGCTGCATCTTATGAAGTTACTGACTGGTGTATAAACTGCTAATGAATGATTATTAACACAGTCTAACATATCTGTAATCATTTTTAAAGATGTATTATTACCAAATCTTACAGTGTGCTGTAAAGCATTTATTAAGCATTTATATATTTCTATCTCTATATAAAACTTTTAAAAGTTGGGTTAAAACTGTTTATTTAATTTGTTCAAAATTCCTGAAGACATGTTGAGAGTCAAGGTTTAAATGGTACCCCACCAATTTTACAGGAAGTACTGTAGGCATCAGAGCGAGCTGCACAAAAACTGATAAATTGACTCAAGTGATATCATGGTGAATTTCAAGCTAGCACCTCAGGGCTATATTATAATCAAGTTGTATCATTGGCCTTTATCAGCAGATTGCTTGCTCGGCTGTCAAGGATAGGGAATACAAAATAAATAAATAGATGCATATGATAACAATAAATGTAATTGTAATAAATTTTATATGGTTACATATATGTTACACATTCATTTATGCTGTTTATACACTAATTATAGATGTTTATAATGTTTGGCAAATGTCACTTAACATTTGAATCTGCTGCCAACTACATTATAGTGTGGTGTAAAACATTTATAAATCATTATTATTATACCTATTATTAACTATTAGTATTATATACTTTAACAGCCCCCAATGGCATTTATACAAAGTAAAGTGTTTAAATCTTTGCCAGTGTCACGTATCTGCAGACTATTCCAGTGTTGAATTTATGAGACAAAATATTTAGAAATCCTGCTTTTGAGACTTGGTTGTAACTGCCTTACTTCCCCTCTCCCTTTGTCCTCCTCCTCTGTGCCCTCAACACCATTCAGCCACCCATGCTGCAGAGCAATAGACAGGGCCTTATAGCCCCCTGGTCTGAGAACAGGGGGAAGACGTTGTTCTTTGGCTCCAGCCAGGAAAAAGGGTCTCAGGGGTTTGTTATTTTTGCTGTCCGATAGCATCTACATGGGTACCTCTGGGCCAAGTGTTTATTATGCTAGCCAGGCAGGTTGTGAGGAGCTGTGGAGAGGATGGGGGTGTGACTGGTCCATGCTCCATCACCATGGAGATTTGGCGTCGACAGCATCAGTCAACCGTCCCCCAGGAAGTGTCAGAAATTGCACCTCAGGTTGTCTTGTGGGGTTGATGGGATACTGATTCCCAGCTGCCCATCGGTTTCTTCTGCCCTTGAGCTCTCCCTCAGCTGGCCAGATGTTGTTGTTGTTTTCTCATTTAAGAATTCTAAATGAAGGATTCACCTTCATTTGTATTTTAAGACCAACATTAGTGCTAGTGTTTTAAAATGATTTTATGTAATTGTATGCTTTGTCCTACCAACAGTTAAAACCCTGGAAGATTCAATTTTCAATCATACAAAACAGAAAAGTGGGAAATCTTCACATTTGAGAGTCAGATGTTTGACATTTCCAGCCAAGCTGCTGACAAGGCTCTAGGGATGGCAGTGTCAGGCCCCCACTGGGGTACAGTCCAAAATGTCTCCAAAACCTCCATGAAGTTAGCTACAGATATTCGTGTTCTCTAGTGTTATCTGAGGTCAGCGTGTTCACTTATTCAGATGAATAGCTTGACCTCTCCTTGATGGATAAACAAAATTCTTCTGCAGACATTCATGGTTCCCAGATGATGTATTCTGTTGAGTTTAGTGATCCCCAGATTTCTCATATACCACCTTAATCAGATCATAATTTTAACTTGCCCACGATTTTGGTTTTATGAGCACAGTACCTGCAAAATTATTGAAATTAGGTTAGAAGGTTAGGTTTCTTTGCTTTGTGCTACTCGGTGAATGTTGGCATGCTAACTGGCTAAACTAAGAAGATAACCCTGGTAAGCAATAATACTGATAACTATTAGCATGATAGCATTCACTGTGGCCATGTTAGCATGCTGACATTAGCATTTAGTGCAAGACACTACTATACCTAAGCACAGAACTGCTAGCATGGCTGTAGTACTTTAGTCTTGTTTTCTAATAAATTAAAACAACCGATCATTGGAGATGATGGCAGTTAATTTTCAAACAACCAACTAAGCATTTCAATAATACTTTTTGTAAGGGTGGAACAGCTCTCACCATGCAAGACATCTGTCTGATGAAACGGTTTGTTGAGGATTGTCACTGCTAAAGGTAAATCAGAGGGAAAACCCTCCATGCAGTTGTTTTTAGACAACCTTATTGCTTTAGTAAGCCCAGGCTGTATGCTACTTTAGGTACATGAGCATTGTAAACTCCCTGTTTGCAGCATCTAGGCTTTTGACAACTCCTGTGATTCTTGTACAAGGTTTTCTCTGTAGGATGGGGCGTTGTGGGACATGCCTTAAAACCTGAGCGGAACGTGTTCTGAACGCTGTACAGAGTGCCTGTCTCCTCCTCCACATTTCTCCTGAGAGCTGTAATGCAATATTCTTCCGTTGTTGTTTCCTCCTGTTGCCCTCAGGTAGAGCCCCTGAAACCAAAGCCCTGGGCCTCGACAAGCTCGGTGTGCAACTCAACAAGGAGACGGGGAAAATAGTTGTGGGCGCTGACGAATCCACCTCCGTGCCAAACATCTATGCTTTTGGTGACATTGGCGAGGTAGGCGTAGTCAACAGACACTAACAGCAAAAACATCCCTTATAACTGTCATAGTTGGAAAACCACTAATTATTAGCCTAAATTTAGACTGTAAAACTCAAAGTTGCTGGAAGCTCACACCCATCACAGTTACTGTAAATGCTTTTCATAGTTTGAACAGCTTGCTCACAGGTGTGTCAGCTCCATGAAAGGAATCTGGAATCAAACACTTCACGGCTCCAGATAATTTTGTATCAACAGAGAAAATACTAACATTCAAAAATGAAAGATGTTTTGAAATTCCATAGTCATTATTGTATAGATAGGCCATTTATTTGTGCACATATTCTGAACATATTATCCAGTAGCATGTACATTCTTGGCAGAAGACTGAATATTAAGCAGCCGCTGCCAGATAATCAGTGACATTGCTGCTGTGTTCAAAGCTGAACCAGCCATGTTAGTACTAGTTATACCTGCTGCACATAATGTCAGTGTTGTTTTTTCACCACAACCAGCTGTCTGCTTCCTTCCTGTCTCCCAAGCCTCATGACACACACACACACACACACACACACACACACACGCACACACTCGCATAACATCATTTTGACTGACAGCTGGCTTTGATGAGTCAGGCTTCATCCCAGTGTGTCTGTCAGCTTTTCATGGCAGCGGCAGGATTTTATTTTCTTTTTTTAAAAGTAGGAAGGTTAATATCCCTTTCAATTTGTCCAGTG